GCTTGCTTTCCCTAAAGGCTTAGCACATTGACTGCCACTGCAGAAGCCTTTGGACTACATCCCATATTTTCACTGCTTGCTGATTAAGCAACTGCATCTGACAGCGCTTTTCTGTCTTTTCTAGCTGTTCTGAAAAATCCTCATAACCAAATGGGAAGCAGGTGTTTGGGCTACATATTGGAAACAAATCTCAACAGCCAGAGGAACCAGATGTATCAGATGCTTGTGAGCAGATGAAAACATGATAATATTGGTGATTCAGGCAATCAGCTGTGAACCGCATCCCATTTTTCTAAAATACATATCACATATTCTTTGTGTGTCAGAATTGTTACCTTCCCCATTGAATCCTGTTACTACAAAAAAGTAGGCTGTAAGCTGGATTTACACAGAAGCTAGCACACATTGTGAGTGGCATGTTACATTACTGTTTGCTTTCCTTTCTCCCTCTCAGGATTTTCCTTAAGGAGATAGAAAATTGCATTGAAAACCCTGACCTTCTTGCCCGATGCTTTTTGAAAAGAGTAAGTAAATCTTTGTGTATGTTTGTATGAATATCTATGGTCTTATCCTACAGTACTTACAGATTTATTCCTGTCCTTTCACTCTGATTGCTTTTGTGAATGAGGGAAACTCACATAAGCAGACACGCCCAAATTAAGCCACAGTTAACAGGTGTGTATTCTGAAATCTGAACCTTTACCTTGTTTACTGATAGAAAAAGACCTGTTACCAGTGTTTTACCAATGTGTTTTAAGCCCTAGTTAAAAAACAAATCAGTAATCCAAATGTTTAACATGTTTTTCACATCAGACAAATCTATACCAGCAATCTGATGTATCCCAGACACCACCCTACTGCAAATAAGCAGAGAACAGTATCACAGCAGATTGCTCTGAGTGCAGACAGTACATCCTGTTCCTGCCTTACCTCATCTCTCTTTTCTCTGCACCATTCAGGAGACTTACTCCCCTAGAACTGACCCAGCAGAGTCTACCACCTTCCTTGCATGGAGAAACCCCACCAGCTCCATAAGACTCTGCAAGGTCAATTCCATTACTTGTTCACATAATTCAACAACCAAGTGGGATTCTCCCCACTTGTATGAAGGTGGTGAGGGTTAGCTGTTTGTTTAAAAGTAAAGTGAGCTCAGTTTATGAGAAAGTCCAAAGCCAACCGGGCAGTGGTGGCTTTGGTCAGATCCATGTGTCTTCACTTCCTGTGACTTTCAGTGCCTAAGTTCTGCAGCTCTCTCCTCCAAGGCCTCTCAGTCATGTCACTCCCCACCCCCAGCACCCCCAGTTAGCATGACTGTTAGTTCTGTTTCCTGTAACATAACAAAAGGTGCTTGTTTGTATAGCACTTATTCAGAGGCCCTACTAGTAAGAAAAAAACCTGTTTTGGTGGGTTGCTACTGTTTTCATGGTCTGACAAAACTGCTTGAATAAGACTCTGTGTTTTTCAAGAGAAATCAAGAGGCATGAGAAATGGGAAAATCTGTCCTCTTCACTGTAGTCAAAGGTACCTCCTGCTTCTACTGTATACCACATCTAGGATTTGCTGCTTTTCCAGGGTACATGTTAAATCTATTTTTAACAAAGTGCTGTATTAAATACAGACGGCTTTGGATGAAACATACATACCCCAGTTGTCAGAGGTGCTGAGCACTGCCACATCTCTAAGATTTCAATGGGAATTATGAACACGTGATACTTCCAGAGGGTGTGCCCCAAGTTTACAAACAGGTCAGGCTGAAGAGCATCTTACAAGTGTAAATGTGATTGTAAGCCCACTGAATTATTTTCAGTTTAACAGTGAAGCATTTAGAGCTTGAGTAAATGACACTACTAAGGAATATGTCGTTATCCTAAGATTCAGATGCTGAGCAGGAAAATATTGTGGTGAAATCCTTATGCAAAATAGGATAAACAGTCTTTGAAGAATGCAGACCTTTGAAATCCAAGAAGCATAAAATGTCTATATATCTCGAATATCCCTGGATTTGGAGCTAAAGAGAAATTCTTGATATAGAATTGATCCTGTAATTCTGCAGAAAGTTCAAATTCCATGTTTAAATATTGTAGTTTATGTCTCTCTGTAAAAACAGCTGTGGAGCCCAATTCTCCTCACTATTCTACCAATATTAAATCAGCAGCGTTAAAGCTGTGGTTCAGGTGTGAAGCGAAAGAAAATCGGTCCCTCTGTCACATTTGGTTATCAGTTTCTATGACCGAGTCAAACAACACTAAATCTATTGACTAAGACCTTAAATCATGCATTTGCTTTATCCCTATTTAAAATTTCACGCTAAGAAATCAAAAACCTCTCTCTTGAGATGTCTCTGCTCACACAGTAGCACCTTTGATTCAAGAACTTGCCCTTATGTTCTGTTTTTAGAAGAAGCCACATAGTCCAGAAATTTGTTGTTTCTGTTGGACTGCCTTTAGGAGGCACAAACGAAAGTCTGGTTGTGTGTTTGTGTTCCCCATGATTTGGCAGCTTTTTATGTCTTCCCGCTGAGCAGA